TCTATGGTATCTCTCTCTCTCGAGTGTCTCACCCTGGTCTCTCTCTTTTCTGGTCACTCTCTCTGGTCTTTCTAACCCTCACCCTCTATGGTCTCTCTCTGATGTCTCTTTAGTCTCTCTCTGATGTCTCTTTAGTCTTTCTCTGGTCTCTCTCTAGTGTCTTTCTCTAATTTCTCTCTTCTTTGGTCTCTCTAGCCCCAACTAGTCTCTCTCTGGTCTTTTTAGACTCTCTGGTCTGGCTCCTATATGTTTGTTGTTAATACATTTTGCTCTGAATCTCTGCTCTGTTTCTCTGATCTGTTGTTGGCAAATTGAAAACCAAATTTATTTTAATTGAATTATGTGAAACTGTAGAAATCTTTAATAAAAGTTAAGCCTGGTTCACACGGCAGGATATTTAGGCCGATTTAGACCCGATTTACCCCTTACGACAATCTTAAGAAACGCTCCGATTTCCGTAACAAAATCTTACAGATTATCCTGCCGTGTGTGGTGTGTTAAGACTGCACTCGTCGCTCGGAAGGACATCGGGACTGCTCCCGATCTCAAATCGGGGATATCCAACATGTTGGATTGTTTTGGCCCGATTTCTTGTCGTGTGTGGTGTCCTCCGAGGACAAGCGAGCGTGTTGCCATGACTACGGCGTGTAGCCAATAAGAAGACGAGGTGACAAGCCGGTGAGGAAACACCGGAAAAAAACCAAAACACAGCAGCATGGCTTTGACCATTGCCTTTTCTTTGGATTACGTGTCTTCTCTGTTAACAACAAACTGCACACTATCGCCACTGCATCCTCTTCGTCCGCCATGACTGTTTACTCTGAAGTCACGCTTGATCTCGAGAGATTTTGTGAGATTTCCGTCTGACCTGGGAATGCTCGGGGGGGGTGTCGGTTCGTGTGTGATGTTTGTGGCTTGCGTGATCTTGCCGTGTGGCTACGCACCACACACTGCACGACCAAAGTGGTTAGACGCAGGATTTTTAATCTCCCCGTGTGGGGTCTAACACGGAGAAAAATCGGCCGACAATTTTAAAATCGTCTCGTGTGAACCAGGCTTTATATGGAAACGACCATAGACAGAATCCTGAAACGAAATACGAAAATGATTTTACATTCAATGGATTAATCAGAGCCATGTGTTTGTAAATCCAGGCCGCTGTATAGAAAGTGTCCTGGATTCTGCCTCTATATGATTCGTATGTGACGGTGCTGTTCTCACCACCAAACTATTCCCACAAAGATCAGTGCAGGTCGGAGATCAGTGGGAGCTGAGCTAAGTCAGGTGTCTCTGTTATCTTTATGTCTTATCTTATATTTGTGAGTTTGTGCTCTCTCTGTCAGAGCATCTGCAGTAAAACCACACTGGAATACAAGTGCAAGAGTCCCCAGAGTACACTGGACAAATAACTACATAAAATAAACAAACAAAAAAATACAAGAAGAGAGAGTATAGAGAGAAAGTCTAGAGAGTGACTAGAGAGACCAGAGAGAGACACCAGGATGAGGGACCAGAAAGAGAGACCAGAGAGAGACACCAGGATGAGGGACCAGAAAGAGAGACCAGAGAGAGACATAAGGATGAGGGACCAGAAAGAGGGATCAGAGTGAGTGCTTTGTTCAGACTGATGACAGATTGTGATTGTGGAAAGAAGCTGTTAGCATGATGTCCTGCATCCAATGATCTCTTCTGTCAGAGAGAAGAAGCTGGAACATGGCTTTTCCAGGAGCCAGAAGAGTCATCTCTGGTCTCTCTCTTGTGTCTCCGTCTGGTCTCTCTCTGGTTTAGGAAGATTCATCTTGTCTTCTTAGTAGAATTGAAATAATTGAGTTCTTCTTAACCAGACAACATAAGGTCTCTCCCTGGTCTCATTCTCTCTCGCTCTCTGGTCCTTCTTCCTGGTCTTTTTCTCTGAATACCTTTCTGGTATCTCTCTGGTCTTTCTCTGGTATCTCTCCGGTCCCTCTATGGTCTCTCTGGTCTGTCTCTGGTCCCTCTCTGGTCTCTCTCTGATCTCTCTCTGGTCTCACTCTGGTCCTTCTCTGGTCTCACTCTGGTCTGTCATTCTGGTCTCCCTCTGGTCTCACTCTGGTCCCTCTCTGGTCTCACAGCTCAGGGTCCTCTTTCAGACGTGTTTAGAGCTCTTTCCAACCACACAGACACAGGCCAACCAATAAACTTTCAATGGTGTAGCGATATAAGTGAGGTGACTTTCTTCAGAAAGAAGAGATGCTGAGGAACTTTAACAACCTTTCAGGTTATTAGACAGACTTTAGACAGTTTAGAGGAGGGGTGCCCAAACCTTTTGCCTCCAAGGGCCAAAGTAAAAAATTGCCAGTGGGCCGCGGGCCAAATACTCCGATTATGCGTGAAACACAAATAAATGTAAATTTGATCAAGTTCCTATGTTGAATGATTAAATGCATTAATCATTGTCTATCAGTGCAAATCACAGCTGAATGAAGGAAAACAACACAGTCTTAGTGAAGTGGAGGCTCCAGGGAAATATGCTGGTTTGAGGAGACTACAGTACGGAAAGATTCCGGTCAGGGAATCAGGGTCCAGAGGAGGGAGATTTCTGTTGTCGCTTATTTACAGGTTATAATCAAATATATATAATCATATAACAGCTATAACTTGGGTCTATAATTCAATATTTAAAAAATACAGCACTTAATTATTTGCTCCTAAAAGTTACAGACATGCCCTTTAATTTTGGCACAAGACGCAGTGCAGATTGTCATATGCACAATATACGTAACTAATAATAAACGAGCAATAGAATGAACTTTGAACTATAAATTAGCAGAAAAACCAAACATTTGACATTAGAATACTCCTTGAAGTAGGTACATCACAAATGATAAACTGAGACTCAAGAAAACACGAGTAAAGTCTGTTAAGTATAAACACAGACATATGGCTAAAGCTGCACATATATATCAACAAATCACACATGGTACTTCCTGGTCATTAACGCACACTGACGCAGGCAACAAAATGAACAAATGAAGGCATGCGGCTGTGTGCTGCTCTGGCAATAGCTACGTGCTCAAACGTAAGTACTTCAATATGCAAAACAGAAACCTAACACTAGGGGCGCACTTTTCTGCTTGGCTCTCCTATACTTTCCTACAAGCCCGAAAGGCTCATGGGAGATCCTTTCAAATTCATAAAACATAAAATTGCTCAAAAAAATAAATAGTAGGCTGAAAAAAAAATAAAGGTGCCAATTGTTTTGATAAGTGTGGTTGATTTAAAAACATTTTAGTGCAAGTTGATGTGAACCATGAGTGAGGCGTGTATCTCGATACAACAGTCAAGTATCGGAAAGCGAGGATTCAAGCGGCGCAGGCGCGCCCGTGCAACCCAAGACATATGTCTGAGTGTCCAGCCAGCCTGAGAGACGCAGATAGAAACTTCCTATAGGCGAGGAAATTGTTCGGTGGGCCAACTTTGGCCCGCGGGCCCCACTTTGGGCACCTCTGGTTTAGAGACATAATAAACAGTAGAGAAGTGGAGAGAGAATGTATTTGAAAGTGTATTATTCCAGGTTTAGTTAAAGCAAGAGTGAGACAGACGCTGATGCAGCAGGAGTTGGAACACATGGAGACACTGGACTTAGTGGGTCAAAGATGCAGGGGCTCAGAGCGCTCAAGCCTCAATCTCATTACAAGGAGCACACAGAAGGCAGGTTCAAGGCCAGAGAGGAGAAGGACAGCAGCCACATGGTTTTACGGTTTTCTCTGTGGGACATAATTCTCACAATGTAACATATACTGTAAACTCTAAAGCCCTCTCACTCATAGCTTCCTCTCTTCATCTTTTAACTTTTTGACAAATGCAATCTTCATATTGTTCATACTATTTTAGAATTGATGCCTTTAAATACAGGTGTCGTCACTATGCCCCCTGAAGAATCAGAATACTTTTTATTGCCATTGAAGGTAACAGGGAGTCAAAAAATAGGAATTTGCTTTGGCTTTAGGTGCAAACAAGTTGTAGGAATACAAATAGTCAAATAAAAGCATGCATACAACTTATCACTATTTACAAGTGCACTACTTTCACACAATAAACATGTAGTACAGTACAGTGACAGCAGTAGAACAAACAGAATAGATTAGATTCAGTGTTTACTCAGATGTGACATTGGGCTTCATCAGAAACACCATGATCCAGATGGTCCATGAGGATATTTGTCTGAAGTGTCTTGCCTAAGGGCTCAGCAGAAGCAGTAAAAGCCTTAGCAGCAGCAGCAACAACAGTAGTAGTAGTATGAGCCCTGATTTGAGTCTGAGGTGTGACACGTGCAGGAGGCGTCCGGGTCTGAGGCATCCGGACTCAGATTAAAGAGCATCTGTCACAGCACAAGTCTCCATGGAAACACCAACAGAGAGTGTGTTAAAAACACAACCTTTACATTCATGGGAAGAACCAAAGCTGTTAAATACAACCGAAGCTTCGGTTCTTAGTCCAAGGTTATTTGGTTTTTGTATTCCACAATTGTCCAATAGTGATGTTATTACCATGACACTTGCGCGGTGTAGAACAACCAAAAATATTCTACTGAGACAAGATGACACTTCCAAGTGTCTGACTTCCTATCCATGTCTTCCAAGTGTCTGACTTCCTGTCCCTGTCTTCCAGGTGTCTGACTTCCTGTCTCTATGGACTGTGAGCAGTAATTAGTAGCCTGAGTTAAAGGGATTACATTTGTCTGTTGCAGAGAGCAGAGCAAGAGGCTGGCAGGGCTCCAGCTGCGCTCTCGAACACAAACCTGTGAAGAGTCCCATACTTGTCGCGTGGCCAATCCGGACTGATTCTGAGAAGTGGATATTTTCAGTTATAATGGTGGCAAAGCCTAGCTCCCAGAGGGAAGGTTCTGTTCTGACATGCTGTGTCTGATCTTCTCCCAGTTCAATGAGTCCCCTTCATGCTGCAGAACAGTCTGAGTTTGAGGACTTTAGTTCCTGGGGGAGTGTTTCACATGAACAGTTATGGCCAGAGACCTGTGCCCTCTGAGCCTCATGCCTCTGATCCTGAGGAGCCAACACCTGGGAGCCTCATCTCTCTCTGTCTTCTGTCCTCTACGCTCTCTCATCTTTTTTTACTTCTTGTGGTGTGCCGCGGGGGTCTCCATGGACTATGGCATCAGCCCCAAGTTTGTGTGCACCCCGATCCCTCCGGAGGCTGACCCTAGCTGCTACTCTCCTCCCGCTGTGCCCTCTGGCGACAGTGCGGGCAGCAGTAGCAGTAGCAGTTGGAGGGGCTTCATGTCGGAGGAGGCAAAATCCACCATTATGCATCTGCGCGAGAGCCTGTTGCGTCAGAAGGAGACCATCCTGGACCAGAGAGAAACCATCCGAGAGCTAACAACTAAGCTTACACGGTGTGAAGGGGGTCACCATGACAACCGTCACCACAGTCAACAGAGCAACCACCCCGACGACCACCACGACGACCACCATGACGACCACCATGACGACCTCCACGGCCCGGCAGGGTACCACAGCGGCTCCCACCAGACCAGCTCCAAGTTCAGCCACTTCTCCCTCGAACAGACGAGCAAAACTCTGCAGGCGCTGAAGGAGCGGCTGCTCAGTCTACAGGTACGCCACTCTGAGGCTAAAAGGTTATCAGCACTAACAATTAGGAGAGGTGTATTCATTCCAACCAAATAAACAGCACTGGCAAACTAGCATTTTGTCCTCTATATCTGTAATCTATTCACTTCCACTATTTTCACCTGTGTTTTAAAATACTGCTTTTACATGTGAACAAGTTACAAGTGAATCCTTTTGGAGGTTTAGATGCTGGGGATGAGCTGCTCACTCAGGTTGATGTCTGCAGAGTCAGTGCCCTGCCCAGACAACCACAGACTATACCCCTGAGAGAGAGGCTCCTGTGCTAGACCATACAACAGCAGACTGTACTGTTGCTGTGATCACCTTGCATTAGGCTCATCTGCTCTGATGAGACATTTAATCGTGCTGCACACGGCTGACTACAAGTGGGATTTATTCTGATGCTACAGCCGCTAAGAGTGTGACTCTGTTTTATCTTATATAACTCTGTAAATTCACAATCTCCGCTCAAAATCTTCTCTGATCTGTTGTTCTCTGGCCTCATTCACTGGTCTCATTCACTGGTCTCATCCTGTGGTCTCATCCTGTGGTCTCATTCTTGGGTCTCATTCTTGGGTCTCATTCTTGGGTCTAATTCTTGGGTTTCATTCTTGGGTCTCATCCTCTGGTCTCATTCTTGGGTCTCATCCTCTAGTCTCATTCTTGGGTCTGATTCTCCGGTCTCATTCTCTGGTCTCATTCTTGCGTCTCATTCTCTGGTATCATCCTCTGGTCTCATTCTTGGGTCTCATTCTCTGGTCTCAGGTTCGTAACTCCAGCAGCTCATATTCGAGTACTCTGAGAGACCTGCTCCAGAGGAAAATCCACGCTCTGGAGGAGCAGCTGCACGAGTATCATCATCACCACGACGACCACCACGACGACCACCATGACGACCACCACGACAATCACCATGACAACCATCATTATGACACTCACCATGATGACCTCCATGGCGTTGGTCACTATAGCAGCCACAGGGGTCGCCATGATGACCATCACAGTGGTCGCCATGACGATCATCACAGTGGTCGCCATGACGATCATCACAGTGGTCGCCATGACAACCATTACAGTGGTCGCCATGGCAACCATTACAGTGGTCGCCATGACGATCATCACAGTGGTCGCCATGACGATCATCACAGTGCTCGCCATGACGATTATCACAGTGGTCACCATGATGACCATCATAATAGTCATCATGACACCCATCTTGGTGGTCACCATGACAACCATCATGGTGGTCACCATGACGACCATCACAGTAGTGGCCATGAAGATCATCACAGTAGTGGCCATGACAATCATCACGGTGGTCGCCATGACGACCATCACAGTGATCGCCATGACGATCACAACAGTGGTCACCATGACAATCACCATAGTGGTCACCATGACAACCATAGATACCACCGGTACAGCTATCATGGGCGCCATGACGATCACCATGGAAATCATCATATTAATCACCATGACGACCACCATAACAGTCGCCACAACAACCATCACTACAGTCACCATGACGACCATCATTATGATGACCACAAGGACCACCATTACAGAGATCACCGTGACGACTATCACAAAGACTATCACCATGAAGACGATGATCAACATGGCAATCACCTCGACCACCACCACAGCCTCGACGAAAAACACAAGGAAACAAACCAAAGCAAAAAGCATGAAGATCACAGTGTCGATCACCATGACGATCGCCCTGGACACCGGAAGCTGGATTCTGTGCTGAGACGGCACCAGGAACAGACAGCCTGGGGTAATGACTGAATCTTAATCTATCTTCACATTTAATCCAAGGGTTTGTCTAACATTATAACTTTGCATCACCAGTTACAGTACAGTAGAAATGAAGAGCACACAGCACAAGATAAATGAACAATAACTGTACTAATTCAAATAAAAAGTTAAATCTCATACGCCAGCATCAAAGAGACAAGTATAAAATGTATTTCTTTAACATAATAAAGAAGAACAATATCTCTATATTTTGGATAATAAGAAGTACCGTGTATTCTAGTGCAAGCAATAAGTAGTTGTACATTTACATCTGTACATAAGCATGTAGCATGAGGCTCCGGGACAGAGTGACTCAGTAAAGTGACTGTGACACATACAATACAATACACACAATACAATTTATTCTTGTATAGCCCTAGGTCACAACAGAAGTCATCTCAGAGGACTTAACAAAACCATTGAAATCACCAACACAGGTCAGAGAATCAACAGTTAAAACACAAAAAAGCACACACAGAAGAAAATGTCCATACATGTTGTAGAATGCTAAAGTGTCCTGATCATCACCAATCCTTTCTGTTGGACACTAACTGTCCAACAAGACCCTCCTGCATCGACAAGGAAAAACTCTTAAAAAACCCAGTGGGAAAAAGTGAGAAACCTTGGGGAGAACTAGGGAAACCCACAGGGAGGGAGACCCATTTGAGAAAGGGATCCGCTCCTCCGGACGGACAGGCTAATGATCTAGGACCTAAGCTAGCTACAGAACGTGGACCAGTGGCCGCTGAACGTGGACAGGTCCGGTGCAGGACTGAAGCACTCCCAGGCGGGTCGGGCGGGGCAGTCCGCAGGTGTAGATGGAGGAGGCCAGGCTCAGAGATCCCGTCATCGTACCATGAAACAGACAATGGGACAACGGGTGAATAGCAATGAACAAAGTACAGTCAAAATCCTAAAAATGCTAAACAGATAATGTAGGAAGGAGGAGAGGATAGTGCTCAAGTTACCATACTTCTCCCAGCAAACTGACTCCCTATGCAGCTTGACTGACAGTCTGAGGAGTTTAGCCTTCCCTGAGTCTTACCTTCCTAGCCATATGCTAAACTAAAGAGGACTGTTTTAAACCTAGCCTTGAATAAAGAGAGTGTATCTGAAAGGAGGCGAGACAGCAGCAGCCACGGCTAGGCTAGTCTAGGTTACAGCACCAAGATTCATGGATTGCACACCAGGCGTGCAAACCGATCCAAGCAAACCTAATTATATATTATATATCATATACATCACATATACCATACATACCATATATATCATATGTAATACACAACATAGCATAATATATAACATAATATACAACATAACACAATACAAAACATAATACATATATTGTATAATATATAACATAATATATAACATAATACAGCATATCAGGGACGTGCAGTCAGGGGAGGCAGGGGAGGCAGAGCCTCACCTGCCATTATTGGAAACTAATAATTATTTTAGTTTAAATATATAATTTATATCCACTGTCCTATGCTTTTAATGTATATTCGGCACGGTTCCCATCAGTTTTGATCATTTCTGAAGTCAAAATCGCCAAAATCCCGTTATTCCTATTCAAAGAGACGAGGTGAGGCAGCGCTCCTGCGTGCCTCACCCCAGACCGCTCCCTCACAGTGTGTGTGTGTGTGTCTGAGTGCACTCAGCTCGTGCAGTTGATATATCACCGTTTGTTTCAAATATCCTGCTTTAAAAACATTTTTTAAACTCCTCTTAGTGTTTAGTAGTGTATTGCACGTATGTGTGTACAATTTATATTTAGTTTAAGTCTTTTGATCGTAGATGAACACACAAGGAAAAAGCTTGGCGTGAGGCAGGCGGTATCTGTGCCTCACCGCTAGGGGTGATAGTGAGCATAAAGTTCATACCAGAGTTGCTAACAAACAATCAGCCCAAAATGCTATTTCTTTTGCTGGAAAATGGATGATTTGAATGAAGATTTTTTTTCTCAATTGGACTTTCAAACAAAGAAAGAATTAATATAGACTGGGAGACCACCACTGGACTTACGAGGTTAGTCCGGCTGCGGGGGAGGAGTTTGTTAATCTGTGTTTTATGTTGAACATTGACAGATACCGGCAAAGTAGTGCTTTTCCGAAAAACACTGATTCAAACACTGCTCAAGAGTTCTGCAACTTGTTTAAATTATTGTTTATGTTCCTCGCGTCTCTCTCTCCTCGCGTCTCCGTCTCTCTCTGCTCCTCGCGTCTCCGTCTCTCTGCTCCTCTCTGTCTCTCTCTGCTCCTCGCGTCTCCGTCTCTCTGCTCCTCTCTGTCTCTCTCTGCTCCTCTCTATTCGCGTCTCTCTCTCCTCGCGTCTCTCTCTCCTCGCGTCTCCGTCTCTCTCTGCTCCTCGCGTCTCCGTCTCTCTGCTCCTCTCTGTCTCTCTCTGCTCCTCTCTCCTCGCGTCTCTCTCTCCTCGCGTCTCTCGCACCTGCGCTTCTTAAAGATGTTGTTTGATGCGGAGCAGAGTCAGCAGCTAGATTTGTTGTGAGATTATTAAAAGAAGCTGGTTCTCTTATCTTTACAGTATATAAAGTTTGTGGATGTCATTGCATTGGTGATTAAATGCTATTTTATTTGAATAATGATTGTAAATCTGACTTTTAAAGTCAGTGCCTCCCCAATCACAAACCTCACCGCACGTCCCTGCAGCATATATATATAATATATACACCATATATTATATATTACCTAATTATATGCTAAATTAAAGTAGAGTGCTTTAAGCCTGGCCTTGAATGTGGAGACCGTATCTGCTTCCTTAACATAAATGGGAAGCTGATTCCACAGTAAAGGAGCTTGGTAGCTAAATGCTCTGCCGCCAACAGTGATTTTTGAGACCTTAGGAACCACCAGACGTCTGGCGTTTTGTGAGCGCAACGCTCGACCTGGTTGATACGACACTAACGTGTCTTGGAGATAAGTAGGAGCCAAGCCATTTATGGCTTTATATGTTAAGAGAAGGATTTTAAACTTTATTCTGTACTCCACAGGGAGCCAGTGGAGTGATTTTAACACCGGAGTTATGTGCTCCCTCCTTTTGGTACCTGTTAAGATCCTAGCTGCTGTATTCTGAACGAGCTGGAAGCTCTTCAAAGAGGCTTTAGGGCACGCTGCCAGTAAAGCGTTACAGTAGTCGAGCCTTGAGGTGACAAACGCATGAATACGTTTTTCCGCGTCACTTTTAGGAAGGAAATTCCTAATTTTAGCGATGTTCCGTAAGTGGAAGTACGCCGTTTTAGTTGCTTGGCTTATATAAGCCTTGAAGGAGAGTTCTTGGTCAAAAATGACTCCAAGATTCCTCCCAGTGTTACTGGGTATAATACTGACATTATCGAGAGTAATTATCTGGTTAGTGAGGGAGTCACGCAGGCGCTTCGGACCGAGTAGGATCACTTCTGTCTTCTCCGGGTTGAGAAGTAGGAAGTTAAGAGTCATCCACATTTTAAGGTCCTTTATGCAGGCACTGAGCTTTTCTAGCTGATCTGTCTGATTTGGCTTCATCGGCAGATAAAGCTGTGTGTCATCTGCATAGCAGTGGAAATTAATTCCATGCTTTTTAATAATGTTTCCTAACGGCAGCATGTAGAGAGTGAAAAGAATCGGTCCGAGTACCGAACCCTGCGGCACACCGAATTCTACTCCAGAATAAGGCGACGAGTTCTGATTTACGTTGACGAAGTGATACCGGTCTGATAAATAGGATTTAAACCAGCCAAGGGCTGTTCCTCTAAGACCTATATCACATTCTAGCCTCTGCAGTAGAATGCTGTGGTCTATTGTGTCAAATGCAGCACTAAGGTCCAGTAGGACCAGCACTGACACTTCATTCCATTATCAGCAGCTAGTAGTAAGTCATTTGTGACTTTGACTAGTGCCGTTTCAGTGCTATGATGAGCTCTGAATCCAGATTGAAAGACTTCAAACATATTATTTTCCTGCAGGTGGCAGCGAAGCTGCTCAGCTATACGTTTTTCCAGGATTTTAGATATAAAAGTGAGGTTTGAGATCGGTATTTCTAAGTATTTCTGGGTCCAGGTTTGTTTTCTTCAGAAGGGGTTTGATTACAGCGGTTTTAAAAGCTTGTGGGACATAGCCACATTGTATGGATGCGTTTATTATATTTACGATAGGCTCAATAATCAAAGGAAGTATGTCTTTGAAGAGCCATGTCGGGACTGCGTCTAACATGCAAGTTGAGGCTTTTGAGGATGTGACCACAGAGATCACCTCTGCTTGGCTCACAGCCATGAATTTATCGAGGCGGACTGAAGAGTCTAAGTGGGAAGTCACGTATGCCGCTTCAGCCTGCCCACTACCAACAGCAGGAGTAACCTCCTCCAGTTTGTCACGGATGGATGTAATTTTATTATTAAAGAAGTGAAGAAAGTCGACACTGCTCAGTGAGCTTGGAATTTTAGGCTCGATTGCGCTATGGCAGTTTGTGAGTTTAGCGACGGTGCTAAACAAAATCTACTGTTATTTTTATTCGCTTCTATTAAAGTTGAATAGTATTGAGTTCGAGCCCTGCGAAGGGCATTCTTGTAGTTTCGGAGACCTGCTTTCCACTCCCTGTGGACAGGCTCCGAGTGGGAGTGGCGATATAGCCTCTCCAATTTTCTGACGTCCTGTTTTAAAGTGTGGAGTTGAACACTGTACCAGGGCGACGATGATCTAATCCTAATAGTTTTCTGTTTTAAAGGAGCTGCTGCATTTAATGCAGATTTTAAAGACTCCATAGTGTTGTCCACCGTTTGGTCAATGACTGAGGGCACGTGTGGTTCTATATTGCACATTCTGATATTAGTTCAAGATATTGTACGGACGCATGACATGTGAGATAATTTCAGCATGCTAACATTGTCAGTACGGCACAGTTATCTAGGATCTCATAATATCTTTATGAGTACCAGACAGTATCTAGCATCTCATGCTAACATTATCAGTACAGTACAGTGATCTGACTCAGCCTCTTTTCTCAGAAGGTCCTCTTCCAAAGCTGAAGCGTCCCAGTGAGTTCCTCCTGGACTTCCCTTTGAGGACAAATTACATGTACGCACGCATGAAGCGCTCGCTGGTCACCGAGCTGTTTGCTCTGACCATGTGTCTGTGGATCAAACCTGGTGCAGGACCAGGACTCGGGACCCCAGTCTCCTACTCCATCCCAGGACAGAGCAATGAGTTTGTGCTGATCGAGTGGGGAGGCAACCCTATGCAGCTGCTGCTCAACGACAAGGTACAAGGTCTCTCTCTGCGCTCTGTCATGTCTTTCTCTGGTCTCTCTCTGGTCTATCTCTAGTCTCCTCCTCAGATGCTGTGATTGTTGCTGTTAAATGGTTAAATCGTTCCACTGACCTCATTGTGGACTTCTCAGAAAGAAGGATCACACTTCCTCTCTTCTCTCAGCCGCAAACAAACAGTTCTAATCTGATTGTGCTCAAGGATTTCTCTAATGATGCTTTAGAAGTGTCTCCTTTGTTTCCTGCGGACACTGGCCCCAGATCTACTGCTTATCAACTTAATTCAGATATGTCAAACTGGCCTTAAATGAACATGTGGCTGCAGGTTTGCATTCCAACTCAGCAGGAGCACACAACTGCAGCGGCCAACAACATATCAGAGAATCAAGATCGAACACAGGAAATAACGCATAGGAGCCATCGGTCGTTACAGAACGTGATGACTGAGGCAGTAGATCCAGGACTGAGGCAGTAGATCCAGGACTGAGGCAGTAGATCCAGGACTGATGCTGTAGATACAGAACACAGATGAAAAAGGGTCTTAAAGCTGCATTAACTTATTTTGGATGGCCTCGCTCTCTCTGCTCGCTCTGCCCACACCCACGGAGCTTTCGCCCCCACTACCCCCCTCCCCCTCGCCCCCTTCGCCTGTGCTCTTTGCTGTTGTTAGCTTCAGAGATAGCGTCTCACAATATGGCACTTTTGCACGCGGATGGCGTGACCATAGAATGACAGAACCGCGGAGAGGACGAGACTTTCTTTTGAATGGCTGTTTCGCTGAGTAAGCAGTAACGAAGACACGGGAAGATTCAGGTTAGCATCTGCCGCTTGTTGTGCTAACTCAGCTGTCTGTGCTAACGACGGACCTGTAGCTTTTCTCAAGAAAGCGGGGGCCAGTGGTCCGCTGTGGTCAGCACAAATCTGCGCTGCTTTTTCTTCAAAAGGACGTATATCCCTATTGCATTTTTGTAATGAATACTAAAATAAAGTCAGTTAGTGCAGCTTTAAAATGAAAGCCGGGTTCACATTTCCATTATCACGCCGTGAAGCAGACAATGTGACATGAAGCAGACGATGAGGATGTTTCCTTGTATGTTCAGGCGGTGACTCTGCCCGTGTCCCTCACTGACGGCCGGTGGCATCACGTGTGTGTGACATGGGCGACCCGAGATGGAGTGTGGGAGGTGTTTCAGGACGGGAAGAGGAGAGGAGCGGGACAGAACCTGTCTCCCTGGCAGGCTGTGAGACCAGGAGGAGTCTTCATCCTGGGGCAGGAGCAGGTGAGTCAGAAAATAAGAATAAACTCAGACTTTTTGAATTTTGAAGGTTGTCTTTGAGTAAATTAAAATGTGTCTTTCCCTAAACAACGCGACCCGTACTTGAGCTAAAAGCTACAGTAGCAGTTAGCTACAGTAGGAGAGTGTAAACAGGAAGAGAAACGGGACAACAAGGTAGTTGCTGGAGATAGTATGGAGTTACTCTGGAGCTTTTGCGAAAATCCGGGCCACTAGGCCTAGTTCGCTCGTAAAAATCTACTGTATGTGACCGTGCCCTCAGTCTCATTTAGTCTGCAGTACTGCGAGAATCCCCCGAGCACATGGTTCCTTCAGATCCAGGCTAGTAATACCCTATCCAGATATTCTCTGACTGTGGAGGCTCAGATCAGAAAGGCAGGTGTGTCAAAGTAAGCAGTACTGCAGGGCTGCTCTGTGCACCTTTTTAGTAAACTTTTAACAACTTTTTAGCGCGTTTTTATTGTTCAGTTTTTTAATATATCTGAGTGTTTTATCTTTTTAATTCAGTGGTTTCAGCAAATAGCACTTAGTCCCGACTGAAACCCACTAGTAGCACAGAGGCTAACACAAGCTAACGAGGACATGGAAAGTGACAATGAAATTGGCTCAAACATGCACAATATTAGTCGCCTCACCTTGGAGCTCCGTGAGAGCGACCGTGCCACCATTGCAGATCTACGAAAAGAAGTCCTTCGTCTCACCGCAGAGTTGAATGAGAAACAATCTCTAGTATCCAAACTTTTTGAAGTCGCTGGTGGGCAGCATTCACGGCTGATGTCACTGAGCGCTGCATATTGTGACACTGTCGTGTGGGAGAGATCCGTCAGCTCCGGACCCTCCTGTTCTACACCTAAGCGCCCGCTTACGAATAACGAGCCCGCGGATTCCGAGGAGCCATCCTGCGCCGTGGCCCATGTCCTGAGTCTGGCAAACCGCTATGCAGCCCTCTCCACTGACATCCCGGCCCCCTCAGCAGAACCTCTGGACACTGCAGCAAACTCTACTGCTCGAGGATCCAAGTCCACTACGAGGAAAACGCTCCTAAAGGAAGCAGTCCTCAGGCGAAAGAGCGGTCCACCAGCCATGTTGACCCCAGTGCAGCAGCCTCAGACTGGGGTAGCGAGCCATCATCACCACCGCTCACCTCCACCGGGTCAGCAGCAGCGTCCAGAGCCAGCCCCTCTCACCGCTCCAGCGTCCCCGAGCACACAGCGTGGGTCGCCTGTAGCTGAGAGTCAGCACCCCCGCTCCTCCTCTCCATGTGTTCAGCGGCGCTCGGGTCCTGCTTCGGGTGAACCCGCTGGTTCCGTCCACCGAGCTCCTTCTCCGAGGCCGCGTCCACGTCCACTCTTCGCCCCGACCACTCTGATTATTGGAGATTCCATTGTGAGACACGTCCGCTTCTTTAACGCGGTCACTCGCTGTATTCCCGGAGCTACTGTACCAGACCTGCTCATACGTCTCCCTCCTCTGCTTCAGTCCCTGCCTGATACCGTTTCCAAGGTAGTCGTGCATGTGGGAATTAACGACATGAAACTTCAGCAGTCAGAAGTCACTAAGAAACATTTTATGGATCTGTTCCACCTCCTTCAATCCTCCGGACTATCTGTTTTTATTTCTGGTCCAATCCAGACTGTAAACAGAGGTGACTGCCTCTACAGTCGTGTTGTGGCGCTGCATATGTGGCTTCAGGCTACATGCAGCTCTTTTAACTTTGTCTTTGTGAATAACTTTGCCCTTTTCTGGAAACGTTACGAAGCCTATCGTCCAGACGGATTACACCCAAACAGATACGGTAGCAGCCTGTTGATGGATTACATACGTTATGTTGTTCAGTGCTCCCCGAGGGGGGCGTGACTGTTTACATCTGAGCCCCCTCGGACCCCACCGCACTCCCCCGCCTCCTGCTCACCAGCACCGGGTGAGTACAACGGTGCAAACACTGCTCCCTGTCCGTCTGGCAGTGCATTACCAGTCCAAACACTGAACTGTGCTGACTCCCTTCTGACTCTGGGAGCTAAAGAACAACAAGGGTTTTCACATTTTAGGCCAATTGAGACTGTGTGTGTTCCTCGCACCAGCTCAAAAATTTTTTTAAATTCTAAAAAACGAAATCAAAACAGGACAGCAGTTAGACGGTCCAACCCTGCAAATCTAATTTCTGTTCCCTGTAGAAATCAATCAACCACATTAATCGACTCTGACGTTATTTTTAAACTTGCTATGCTTAATGTCAGATCTCTATGTAACAAATCATTTTTAATTAATAATTTTATCACTTCTTATGATCTTGATTTTATGCTTATGGCTGAAAACATGGCTGGACCAAAATACAGGAAATGCAGTTCTAATAGAAGCAACACCACCCAATTTTAAATTCGAATCCGAAATACGAGAAAACAAAAGGGGGGGAGGCATAGCTGCAGTTTTTAGAGAGCACTTTGTCTCCCATAGAATGCCCCTTGGAAATTTTTCATCGTTTGAGTATATTTCTTTTAAAATGGAACAAAAGCAATCTTCTACTCTTTTCATTGTCCTGTACAGGCCACCACAGTCATGTTGCGATTTTATTGACCATTTTACTGAACTACTTTCATTCGTGTGCACAGATTTTGATAGTTTAGTTATTACAGGTGATTTTAATGTACATGTTGATAATGTTGATGACAGAAATGCAAAGGAGCTGGCTTCTGTATTTGAGACCTTTGGTTTCATTCAGCACGTGAGTGGCCCCACCCACAGCAGGGGGCACACTCTTGACCTGCTAATTACAAAGGGGGTTAATGTATCAAATGTTAATGTAGTTGATGTTGCTTTGTCAGATCATTTCTGTGTATTTTTTGACATGTGTTTTGCTAGCAAACCACCAGCTGAATTTACAACTGTTAGAAGAAGACACATACATGAAAACACAAGTGAACTGTTCATGGGAATGCTAAATTTTGAGAAAACTCCATGCTCTACTGTTGATGAATTGTATAACTCTGTCACCACCAGTGTTCTGACTGTTCTGGACGCCATTGCTCCTGTGACGGTTAAAATAGTTACCATTAAGAAAAAGGCCCCATGGACTAAGGCAGACTCGGTTAGGGCACAGAAGCAAGAGTGCCGGAGGGCCGAACGGAAGTGGCGAAAGTCCAATTTCCAGGGCGATTATGAAATCTTTAAAGATGAGTTGGGTGAATTTAACCGGGTTCTACGTAGAACAAGAGAAATGTATTTTTCTGACATTATTGGAGGTTGCAGTAACAATTTTCGTGTTATGTTTTCAACAGTTGGTAGATTAACGAACCCCCCTGTAAAGTTGCCCCTAGAATTTTCCTCTAAATCTAGGTGTAATGAGTTCGCACAGTTTTTCGCTGACAAAGTACAAGGAATCAAAAACACTATCACCTCCACAGCACGTATAACAATGCAACAGCCAGAGAAGCTTTCTGAGCTAACTCACTTTGCACCTGTGGATACTGAAACTGTCAAAAAGATAATCATGAGTCTGAGCTCCTCCACATGTAGCCTGGATATATTGCCCTCTAAATTTCTGAAGTCCGTCCTGAGCAGTTTGTTACCTTCACTGACACAAATAGTAAACATGTCTCTGTCGTCAGGAACATTTCCTATGGCCCTAAAAACAGCAGTCATAAGACCTCTCCTAAAAAAGAGCAGTCTGGATCCTGCGGGACTTCAAAATTATCGCCCCATATCGAATCTGCCGTTTATTGGAAAAATTCTTGAAAAAGTGGCCTCCCAACAACTTACTGAATTTTTAACAATGAATAATTCTTTTGATATGTTCCAGTCTGGGTTCAGACCCCACCACAGCACTGAGACCGCTCTAGTGAAGGTAACAAACGACATTCGACTTCACACTGATGCAGGTAAAGTCACAGTTTTGGTCATGTTAGATCTTAGTGCCGCGTTCGACACTGTCGACCATGAGATCCTCATGCAGAGACTGGAGGACTGGGCTGGTGTCACTGGCACAGCCCTAGACTGGTTTAGGTCTTACCTGGAGGATAGGAAGTACTCTGTGGAGATTGGAGACTGCGTCTCAGATGATGTGGCCCTGACCTGTGGTGTACCACAGGGGTCGATCCTGGGACCTCTCCTATTTAATCTCTACATGCTGCCGTTAGGTCAGTTAATACAAAGAAACAAAGTGTCCTACCACAATTACGCTGACGACACTCAGATCTATGTCTCACTGACTGCAGGAGAACATGGACCACTGGATTTGCTCCTTCACTGTATCCAACAGATCAGTGACTGGATGCAAAATAATTTCCTCCAGCTAAATACAGACAAAACCGAAATCATTGTCTTTGGTCCCCAGAAACAAAGAGAGGGCGTCATTTGTCAACTTCAGTCTCTCTCTCTACTTCCTTCAGACAAGGTCAGAAATTTGGGGGTAATACTGGACTCAGACCTAAATTTCAATAGCCACATAAAATCAATAACATCAACAGCTTTTTACCATCTGAAGAACATTGCCAAAGTTAGAAATATAGTGTCCAGGGCAGACTTGGAGATTCTTGTCCATGCATTTGTCTCCAGCAGGCTAGACTACTGCAATGGCCTGCTTACAGGTCTGTCCAAACAGACCTGTAAGCAGCTGCAGTACATCCAAAATGCAGCAGCTAGAGTCCTGACAGGAACCAGGAAGTATGACCATATTAGTCCGGTCCTCAGGTCTCTGCACTGGCTTCCTGTGGCTCAAAGAATAGATTTTAAAACGGCTCTGCTTGTGTACAAGTCTCTCCATGGCCTTGCACCAGAATACATTAGTGACATGTTGGTGTCATATGAACCAGCCCGGACTCTGAGGAGCACAGGGACTGGCCTCCTGCTGGTGCCCAGAGTGAGAACCAAACATGGGGAGGCTGCGTTTCAGATCCATGCAGCTAAGATCTGGAACAATCTCCCTGAAAATGTGAGGGAGGCGTCTACTCTGTCAATGTTCAAATCCAGGTTAAAGACTGTTCTGTTTGCCTGTGCATACAACTGAAGGATTTTATCTCCATTTTTAATGCACTGCTGTCATTTATTTATTTATTTAAATTTCTTGTGTAATTTTGAAAGTTTTAATGGTTTTATTCTTTTGTGTGATTTTAATGTTTTAATTGTGTTTTAATCTTTTGTGTGATTTTAATGTTTTAATTGTGATTCTGGTGTTTGTTTTATGTGATGATTTGTGATGTGGACTGTGAAGCGCTTTGTGTTGCCATGTGTATGAAAGGCGCTCTACAAATAAACTTTGATTGAACTTTGATTGATATTATAATAGATCCATGGGCAAAACCTTTGGGAACTTTTTTTTATTTGCAGTCATTAAATAAACATTTGGGCATTCATAAAAGTGGATTAAAGTTAATTTTGTGTGTTTAGTTGGCACAAAGCGGTATAAAGGCGGGATAATGTAAAGCAGCCATTCCCAAAGTCAGTAACACCGCACCCCCCTTAAAAATCTGATGGGTCTGCGCGGCCCCCTGAAATAATATGTTACATGGTGGAAAGGAGGACGGACCCAAAATTCAATACTGCAAAAAACATAATTTAATAACCAAGAATCCAAAAATCAAAAACTGTATAAACACAGGAACTGAAGACGAACCAAGAACAAACAATCAATGGACTGACAACAAGAGTGAAAGAGCACAGGGAATTTAACTGAGAGACACAGGTGAAACAAATCAGGGCAGGCAATCAACAGAACAGGAAGTAAAACTCTAAAAAGACACAGGGGAACAGAATTAACAACCATGACATAATAACCAAGAAGACAACTTTAAAGATAGGCTCTTGTCGTTCTTTTATTTGGAGAAATAGTCTCTGCTACAAACATAGAAATTACGCAACCCATTTTGTAATACAAAAATGATTACAATTTAATTATTCTAGTCAAATAATGAACACAAACATTTTAATATTACAAACAAAATATAATTAATATTTTTTGCACTTTGGGAGACACTAATGTATAGAATAGAGTTCATTGGAAAAAAAAAAGTTCCTTAAGGGCGGACGTAGATCAGTCCGGTTCTCCCTGTCTGTACTTATTTTCCGATAATGACCTTCAATCTATGCATTATTCCTTACATAATATACAGTATATCATAAATACAGTATATATGGTAACTCTCTGCTCCACAGGACAATGTCGGGGGACACTTTGACGTCACTCAGTCGTTCATGGGGCAGATGTCAGACCTGCAGCTGTGGTCCAGAGTCCTGAGTGCCAAAGAGATGCAGAGCCAAGCCAACTGCTCGGAGCACCTGGATGGAGACGTTCTGTCCTGGACCCAGGACGCTGTGGAGCTGCATGGAGGCCTGGCTGAGCTGGACCACCAGCTCTGCCACTGAGGAGAAACCACACCAGGGCCAGGAGGACCAGGAGGAGGGTCAAACCAAGAGGAGGACTAGAGGAGTCTATCAAGAGGACGTTCTCTGGTATCTCCTCTGGTGTCTCCTTCCAGTTCCATTGTCCCTGTAGTTCTGGAACAGTCTTCGTGAAGTGTCTCAGATGAACAGATTCATTCAAACAGAGACAAATCCAAGTGAAAAAAGTCGAGCCGCATTCTTCCTCCTCGGGCCAAATAGTGCGTCACATATTTGACGTGATCCTAACACTTTTAGTTGCTGACAAAAGCAGAAAAACAGTAGATCCATGTGGGACCAAACCACAGACATACGCTAGACTGGCTGCGCGCTCTGATTTGCTGTTTCAATCTGTCAGTCACATCCCGGCTTTTTTAATTATTATTATTTTTTACAACAAACAGCATACTTATTGTGTATTGTTTACCCTGTTTTGACAAAAGTATTTAAAAACCATTTTAAATACAAAGCAAACAGGGTTATGCGCGTCATATTCGTCATCAGTGTGGTAATCGTCACAGATGTGGACCCGGGCGTTTCACTGCCTCTCGAGGGTGAAGGAGACAGATTGCTCTCTAACTAAAGATTGACTGTGTCAATCTTTAGATGAAATGAAAAAATAAAATAAAAACTCTGGGCATGTGTATGAAGGCCAAATAGCACTGTAATCATGTTTAAAGCAGAGAAAAGTCAAAAAGTGTAATTTGGGACCTTTAAATCAGAATTTTGAGATTATTCTCCTGGATGGATGCATTTGTCTCCTTTTGATCCTCCGCACAATGGACTATTTTGCTTGAATTAAAACTTTTGAACGGCCAACATTTTTACCAAAATGTGTCAAATGTCAACAATTCTATGTTAATATACAATTCATGCCCTCTACTAAATTAATTATTAATCATTAATAATAATGTTATTGAGGTTACATTCAGAAAGCATACATTTATACTGCCCACAAAGGTGCATGGGGTGAATTTTAAGAATATAATTACTTTTCAAAGAATAAGAATCAGAATACTTTTTATTGCCATTAAGGAACAGGGAGTTTGCTTTGGCTCAAGATGCAAAAGACAAACAATAGTTAGAAGACATGGATAAAAAATATTCATAACATTTCTTTAAAATGACTACTATAGTTTATGCAAGTGCACTGAGTTCACACAAGTAAAAGTAGAAGGGGTCAGGGGTGAGTTAGAAATGGATCAGTCTTTGCTTCTTGGATCTATATTTAAGAGAACTGTGTTTTAGGTTCAACACTGAAGTGAGTAGTCTTTGTAAGACGCATCAGTAAAACATGTGGTGGGAGCCCTCCTCGCCCGGGTCTAGGGTTTAGGGTCAGGTCTGGTTTGTTTATAATGTAGAGATTCTTCTCTTGTTCTGTAAATACTGAGCGATAAGTGGATATTTATCTAAAGTCTGTTACATAAGTGACCAGGGCTCAGAGAGCAGAGGCACCTGACTGGATCCAAACTCAACGTGTCTCAAGCTCATTCTTATGCTATCGCTAACAGGGTTTATTAGGATTTACCCACGATCCTGCTATTCCTGTCCCACACTCCTCCAGAGAAGCTCTGTTAAAGGTTTCATCTCCTTTGTTTCATTGACGTTTGTACACGAGATGTAAATACAGTAGTCCTTTTTGAGATTTTTGCACATGTTTATATGTAAATATTACTGTAGCACTTTGTGACACACTTTATACTTTGTACAGAACCCGCTGTGGGAGTGGGATTACTTATTTATGTTGTTGATTGGTCCTGCTCAGACCTGACACGTTTACCAGTACTTTCTGGACTATACGCTGCAGGTTATCAATCAATCCATAGATCCTTACATAAATCTGTAACCTACACAAGGAAACACAAAGGCCAGTCCCTGTGCTCCTCAGAGTTAGTTCATAGGGCACAAGCAGCCTATAGTCCAGAAATCACGGTTCATATTTCTACTGTTAGGTGCAGGGGCTGTATGTATTTGTATAAACTGTATTCTAGGCCTTCGCTTTCTGCTTTCCCAACAGTCTGTAAGCACAAAGTAAGGTCTGAGCAGGGCCTGTGATGTCACATGTTATGCCAAGAGGATGCTAGTGGGCCAAATGCATGTCCTGCTCCATACTGTAGGACTGATCCTGTTATAGACTGAATGTATGCATGCACACACTATACATGTGCTTACTGTGCCTTGTGCGCACACTAACGGTTGCATAGTCTCTGTCCTGTTTGTGTGTTTGGCTGTAAATGATGAGCTACAGTTTCTCAGCCAAAACATGTGTAAAACTTGAGAGAGTAGATGTACACTCTGAATGTTCAGATGTCACTTTTCAATAAAATAATTGTTTCTGAGTCTGTTTTACTCTGTCTCTTCAATTGCGGCCCTGGATTATTGGTATTGTGTGGCCCCCTAGTGGACTCCACTGAGACTTTGCAAATATATTACACATAGTTTTCAAGATAATTTTATAAAGAAAACGAATACCCTCAACATTTATTTTACCATAAACATTGAACCTAGAAGGCATTAGGCAAGATGTCACCTTTATTTAACACCACTGCTTTTCATTTTGTTTTGTTTAAAAACCGAGTCATATGTATTAATATGACTCTGCCTTCTTCCTGTTTTTTCTCATTTGTACAATTTGACCTGCAACATCATAAGACGTTAGATTCTCCATTCTCATGCATTCCTATAGCTGTAAGTCTCTACTGCATCCAGCAGATGGAAGCCTTGTCCTTTCTACAGTTTATTCCCATAGAACTCCATTCCCCATGATGCACCGCGGGGATAAAGACGCGGCGCTTCCCTGGGATTAAACTGTGCGCTTCTGAAGGTGAGCTGAACAGAATAACGTCATATTTCAGCTGTTTGGTGCCTAAACTTTTTCTGAAAACAGTTTTAATATTTAACTTAATGCAGCACGTGTTAATTTGTTGTAGTTTACAGTTATTTAAGGCATTATTTAAATATTTAAACTCACCATGGGACAGATGAAGGAAGGCAATACTACAGCAGGACTACAATATTAGACAATTATTCATTATATTTTCTATTTTTCATGTGACATAGAGGTGTCTATGTGTCACTAAAGCAAGGGAACCCGATTTTATCATATCAATTTAATCAATTTAATGTATTTGTCAAAAGCCCTAAATCAAGCAGCAGTTGCCTATGGGGATTTTACAAAGATGTAAATAATAGTACAATATCACTACGGTCCTCAGACCCTCCTGCATCTACAAGGAACCAAAGAATCAGTGGTGAAAAAAGTGCAGGACAGGCTGTAGATCCAGGACTCTCAGGTCTCTCTCAGGTCTCTCTTAGGTCTTTCTCTGGTCTCTCTCAGGTGTCTCTCAGGTCTCTCTTAGGTCTTTCTCTGGTCTCTCTCAGGTCTCTCTCAGGTCTCTCTTAGGTCTTTCTCTGGTCTCTCTCAGGTCTCTCTCAGGTCTCTCTTAGGTCTCTCTTAGGTCTTTCTCTGGTCTTTTTCTAGTCTTTCTCATTTTAACTTTTCCCCCCAACAAAGCTGATCTAAAGGCCAATAGAACTTTATGCAAAAACTTTAGGGCAATCAAACTTAATGCGAAAAATGAAGACGTTCATTTTTGAGGTTTTAAAATCATAATAGAATGATACTTCAGTCGTGCTCTTTCTAAAACTTTTGCTGTTTGTCTCAAGTCTGAAAATGTCTGGAAACTTTGAGGAGAAGATCAAAGACTACGCCACGGCTCCATTCGACGCTCGCTTCCCAAACACCAACCAAACTCGCAACTGCTTCCAAAACTACCTTGGTATAAAGCACCACACACAGACTGTATACAGTTGGACAATGCTAACCCACTAGCATTGCTCATGGACCAGAGACCATGAAAGACAACAGAGAGTCCAAAGAGAGTCCAGAGGCAGAGAGTGAGACTGACCAGAGAGAGACCATACAGAGACCATAGAGAGACCAGAGAGAGACCATACAGAGACCATAGAGAGACCAGAGAGAGACCATAGAGAGACCATAGAGAGACCAGAGAGAGACCAGAGAGAGACCAGAGAGAGACAAGAGAGAGACCAGAGAGAGACCAGAGAGAGACCAAAGAGACCAGAGAGAGACCAGAGAGAGACCAAAGAGACCAGAGAGACCAGAGAGAGACCAAAGAGACCAGAGAGACCAGAGAGAGACCATATCACATACTTTTTGTTCTTACAGACTTCCACAGATGTAATAAGGCTCTGTCGGCCAAAGACCAGGACACTGCTCCATGTGAGTGGTACCAGAAAGTCTACAAGAGTATCTGCCCCCTGGCCTGGGTACGTCACACATGGTTGTACTACATAGGAATGTCCATTCTTTAGTTCTACTACCTGTTCTGTTGATTGTCTTATATGTAATATACTCTTTCCCTCTGACCCAGTCTTTGTTCCATGTGTGTAGTTCTGGCTTTTTATATCCTGGTCTTTATCTTTTTTTTCATTTTATTAATTAAATTAAAGGTTTTTCTAAATCACAAAATCAGGCTGTAGATCCAGATGTACCATCAGACATAGATTACTCTGAATAATGGTTCCTTGGATGTCCACCACTATCAGACGTGTTCAGCTCATGTCTCTCCCTCTGGCTCCCTCTAGTGGCCCATGAGCAAAACTATACCATTCTGCTGATGTACAGTATACAAAGCAAAGTTTACAAGCACCTCTGAATAATGATATGTGTCTGAAAATTAACATTTTGTACAGTGACAGTTAAACTCAGTGCTAAACTCTGTCTCTGCAGGTCTCAAAATGGGATGAACAACATGACAATGGAAACTTCGCAGGAAGAATATAATCAAAGTTTGAACCTACAAATAAATGTACATGACTCATAATATGTTGTCTCTTATGTTACTGAGTTACTGTTACTTATACAAATGTCTCAAATGATACAGAGAATGGGTGCTACTGGGAGAGTCACTTATATATACTGTATCCACCAGGCCAAATCTACTCTACTCTACTCTAGTAGAGTGAAAGGAATCTTTAATAATATTCTTTCTCTGTGCCAAGATTGTTACCACTGAAAAAACCTGATCTGAACAATAATAATAATGCATTAGTTCAATACAGCAATTTTCTGGACGGTCAGTCTCTTTATGTCATTATTCTTTCACTCCACACACAGTGGTGATAAACTACTACTGTAGCCACAGCTGTGTCTTCCAAAAAAGACTACTATTAACTGTATTCACTGAAGCATCAAAGCGGTTGAAAGACTTCTTCAAAGTGAGTCATAGGTTACGTAATTACGCACCGTCAGCTGACCCCCCAGTCCCTCCCTCCTGCACCCCCACGGAGCTCTAGAACCCCCTCATCATCGTCACCGTCGCGGTACGCCCTGACAGACAGCTCCACTCCGCGCCATCACCGCAGTCCCACTCATAAACGCAGCTGCTTTGTTGCATTCTCTTATGCCCCATCATCTGTATGAAGGTCAAACCAAGCCAGCGTGACTCCTAGGCGCATGCGCACTAAAGCCTGCTCGAGAAAGAGGAGCTGAGGAAGGGGAGGAGCCTGCAGCATCATCATCACTGCTCTGACTCCGCTGTGGAAGCAGAGAAATAAATAAAGAAATACCGCTGTTACGTGTGATACATGCGCCAAACTCTGGGGGAGAGAGGAGTCACGAGACACGGTCTGGTTTTCTGTCACCTCCAGACAGGTGAGGAGGTCTCTCTGATCTCTCTGGTGTCTCTCTTTGCTCTCTCCCTGGTCTCTCTTTGCTCTCTCCTTGGTCTCTCTCTGGTCTTTCTCTGGTGTCTCTCTTTGCTCTCTCTCTGGTCTCTCTTTGCTCTCTCCTTGGTCTCTCTCTGGTCTTTCTCTGGTGTCTCTCTTTGCTCTCTCTCTGGTCTCTCTTTGGGTCTCCCTGGTCTCTCTTTGGGTCTCTCTTTGCTCTCTCTCTCTCTGGTCTCTCTTTAGTCTCTCACTCGTCTCTCTGTGGTCTCTGGTCTCTCTTTGGTCTCTCCCTATACTCTCCCTTTGGTCTCTCTCTTTGGTCACTGGATTTGGGTAGCTTAAAGTGTTATCTCGACATTGGATATAGTTTGACCCAAATTCTAAACAAGCGGTTCTCACAGATCTCCCGGCCCTGTTATGCAATCTGCGGCATAAATGTGCATGTTTATTCTGTTTGAGTGCGTGCACGCGTACAGGGAACGAGTTATAATAACGAGAGACGTGGAGTCGTGCCGTTCAGGACCATGGACAGCAGCCTATAAACTGAGTTCGCTTGTTTCTCTCTCAGCTCATATCGGGAGCGGGCGGGCACCACCTGAGGATCGCATTTCTGTGAAGGAATCGAGGCCAAACCCAGCGCTGCAGATATGGAAGGAGAGGTTAGTTTGTGTTTGTGGTTTTATCTGGTGTCTCTATGGTCTCTCACTGGTCTATCTCTGGTCTCTCTCTCAGCTCAAAATGCTAGAATTATAATGGTCACTACATTCAGACCTCACCATGTTGTGAAGTGCAGATCCTCTAGAATGGAGTCTCTCACTCTCCTCATGTCTGTCTTTGGCCTCTCTCTGATGTCACTCGGTGGTCTCTTTCATTTTTCTCTCTCTCTCCGATCTCTCTCTGGTCTCTTTCATTTTTCTCTCTCTCTCCGGTCTCTCTCTGGTCCATCTGGTCTCTCCCTTGTCTCTCTCTCTCCAGTCTCTTTCTGCTCGCTCTCTGGTCTCTCCCTCTCTCTTGTCTCTCTCTGGTCTTTCTCTGGTCTTTCTCTGGTCTCTCTATAGTTTCTCTCTGACCTCTTTCTGCTCGCTCTCTGGTCTCTCTCTCATCTCTCTCTGGCCTCTCTTGCTTCACTCTCTGGTCTCTCTATCTTCTCTCTCTGGTCTCTCTCTCTGGTCTATCTCTGGTATCTCTCTTGTCTCTCTCTGGTCTCTCTCTCTGGTCTCTCTCTGGTCTCTCTCTCTGGTCTCTCTCTGGCTCTCTCTCTGTTCTCTCTCTGGTCTCTCTCTGGTCTCTATCTTCTCTCTCTGGTCTCTCTCTGGTCTCTCTCGCTTCACTCTCTGGTCTCTCTCTGGTCCCTCTATCTTCTATCTCTGGTCTCTCTCTCTGGTCTCTCTCTGGTCTCTCTCTCTGGTCTCTCTCTGGCTCTCTTTCTGTTCTCTCTCTGGTCTCTCTCTGGTCTCTCTCTGGTCTCTCTATCTTCTCTCTCTGGTCTCTCTCTGGTCTCTCTCGCTTCACTCTCTGGTCTCTCTCTGGTCCCTCTATCTTCTATCACTGGTCTCTCTCTCTGGTCTCTCTCTGGTCTCTCTCGCTTCACTCTCTGGTCTCTCTCTGGTCTCTCTATCTTCTCTCTCTGTTCTCTCTCTGGTCTCTCTCTGGTCTCTCTATCTTCTCTCTGGTCTCTCTCTGGTCTCTCTATCTTCTCTCTCTGGTCTCTCTCGCTTCACTCTCTGGTCTCTCTCTGGTTTCTCTATCTTCTCTCTCTGGTCTCTCTCGCTTCACTCTCTGGTCTCTCTCTGGTCCCTCTATCTTCTCTCTCTGGTCTCTCTCTCTGGTCTCTCTCTGGTCTCTCTCTCTGGTCTCTCTATCATCTCTCTCTGGTCTATCTCTGGTGTTGCTCTTGATTGGCGCTTGGTAACTCTGCCGTTGCTATACCTACAATAATTGGCTCCACAGTCTCGCTCAAAGCCTGTTCGAGCGATAGCTTTAATCTTCTTCTACAACACTTATGCTAGCAGTGTGGTGACTGTTAGCACTCCGCATGCAGACACTGTACAAATGTGTTTCTGTGTTTTTATCCCAGCTTCCTCAAAATTATACACTGTTCCTTATATCTGTAATCACCTGAACAAGAAACTGCAGCATGGATGAGGCTGATAATGATGTTTGTATTTAGCAAACAGAGTGATGCAGGGCTTGGGTCAGAGGTCAGAGCACAGTCAGCAGGTTTCCTTTTGTCAACATGTTTCTACAGATTGTGATCCCATGTGAGCTAAGGAGACTGTGTGTTGTGGATGTTGGTTGACAGAATGCATTATTTTTAAGAAAAAAGTTGTACAAGAATGTTTAATGTCATTGTATTTTTATCCATAATACTAGCAGCAGCAAAGTCAGTAGTAGCAGTAGTAGCAATAGTAATAGTAGCAGCAGTAGCAAAAGTCACAATAGCTATAGTAGCAATAGTAGCAGTAGCCGTATAAGTAGCCAGTAGCAATAGTAGCTGTAGTAGCCGCAGTCTCAGTACCTTTAGTAGTAGTTCTTTTAAATTATTATATGAATGCAGCTTGGGTTGATTAAGACATATCGTTTTTCTCGCTCTTCTCTCTCAAACATCGCAGAGTGATGTCTTTCTCCTCAGACTGATACAGAATAAAAGTCAAACCCAGCGTTAGAACCCTCTGTCCTCCACCAGCTCCAGTGCCGTCCATGAGTTTTCCATGAGCCCTGAGAGGGAAGGTCGAAGGTCACCAGGTCTTCACTACGAGCCTCAGCACTGGTGGCGGTGTAGTCCAATCAAACCTGGATTATATTTGATTTTCACAGGATTTAAACCCTCTTCAGGTGGGTGGGGAGGTCCTTCCTCAAGTGGAGAAGTTCAAGTATCTCGGGGTCTTGTTCACGAGTGAGGGAAGGATGAAGCGTGAGATTGACAGGCGGATCGGTGCAGCGTGCGCAGTGATGCGGTCGCTGTATCGGACCGTTGTGGTAAAGAGGGAGCTGAGCCGAAAGGCAAAGCTCTCAATTTACCGGTCAATCTTCGTTCCCTCCCTCACCTATGGTCATGAGCTTTGGGTAATGACCAAAAGAACGAGATCGCGGATACAAGCGGTCGAAATGAGCTTTCTCCGCAGAGTGGCTGGGCGCTCCCTTAGAGATAGGGTGAGGAGCTCAGTCACACGGGAGGAGCTCGAAGTAGAGCCGCTGCTTCTCCACTTCGAGAGGAACCAGTTGAGGTGGCTCGGGCATCTGTTCCGGATGCCTCCTGGACGCCTCCCTGGGGAGGTGTTCCGGGCACGTCCCACCGGGAGGAGGCCCCGGGGAAGACCCAGTACACGCTCAGCTGGCCTGGGAACGCCTTGGGGTCCCCCCAGACGAGCTGGAGGAAGTGTGTGTGGATAGGGAAGTCTGGGCATCTCTGCTTAGACTGCTGCCTCCGCGACCCGGCAACGGATGAAGCGGAAGAAGATGGAATGGAATGGAATAATTTATTAGAAGGATCAGGACAGACCATTGAGGTGAATAGTTTGAATTAGAAAGAATCATTTCCCCTTTGCAAATAATAGAACAAACAATAGATTGTGAGGCAATGAGATCCACAAAGACACTTTTGACTACATCTTGATGATTAGAAAACCACACTTGGCTAATATCTGATTTTAAACTACTGCTGCTGCTACGACTGATTCTGTTTTCAATCAACTGGATCAGTACATTGATCAAAGTTAATTGCATTTTCCACATCATCAGCTCTCTCACACTGTCTCTCTCTCTCTCTCTCTTGGGTCTCTCTCCCTCTCTTTATCTCTCTTTCTCTCTCTCCCTTCATTATTTAGTCAGTTCTCGACTTCAGAAACCTGTCTGTGAGTTTTTAAGTGATGACAGAAAATATAAGATTGTAACGAGTGATGACTGAGTGTGAAAATACAGTGTGAGACCTGATGATGTAGAAAAGGCAATTCATTTTGGTCAATGTATGGATCCAGTTTATTGAAGAAGCAGCAGTGGGAGTATAGTAGTAGTAGTAGCAGTAGTTGTAGTAGTTGCCTGCCCAGGTGTGGTGTAGACGCTTGAGATGTTGGTATCTGTAAATACAAGAAACACATCACTACCTTGGGATAGTGATGTAGAGTACCCAGAGACCTCCCCCTCTCTCATCTCCCCACTCTCCGCTTCCCCCTTCCCTCCCCGCTCACCTCCCTCTCTCCTCTAGCCTCTATCTCCTTTCTCCCCTCTCTCTCCCCTCTCCCCCTTCTCCTGTGCGTCTGCACATATACTGAAAATTAGCTCCAAATGTCAGTGTCCTACTCTCCAGCCGACGTGACACGAATGAACTGAAGGAGAACTGTGTTTCTGTTTCCCTCTACGTTCTGAAGAAACACCCGACTCTGAGATGTTTGAACAAGAACCGAATGTTCTGTGAGGAAAGGAGGACGGAGAGTTTATGTGTAGCTTCTGTGAATTAGGACCATGGAATACCTCTGCCCTAGTCCCATAGTAACTGTTAATACACTGTTAGTATTAGAATGGACCTCTTATGATGTTATGTAGCTCTACAACGTAAGACTAGGGAGACCAGAGAAAGACATGGGAAACACCAGAGAGAGAGACCAGAGAAAGAGAGCAGAGAGAGAGAACGGAGAAACACCTGAAAAATACCAGAGAGACCAGAGACAGAGCAGAGAGAAGATTTAGAGAGAGAGAGCAGAAAGCTAGACCAGAGAGAGAACAGAGAGAGAGGCTGCAGTACCGTGGGTGGCCTCTAGTCCATGTGGAGACAAAGATCACCTCCATGGGTCAGATTTGAGGGTCATCAGCAGCAGATGCAGCGGTCAGTCTGTCAGAGCAGTGTTGTTTACATTCACCTTCCTGGATCTGTTTCTCTTTGTCACAATGACTCAGGAAAAAATAGGACACGACAGCAACAAAACCAGAGAGGAAGCTGTGTTTTGTGATCGAAGTTTGAGAGAGATTCAGCAAAAACAAATAAGAGACAGAACACAGTAATCTGCAAATGGAAAATAAATTCTTGAATCTTGAATTCTTGAAAATAACAGACACAAAGGAGCCATTGGACCATAGAAAGCGGGATGACTGAGGCTGTAGATCCAGGACTGAGGCTGTATAAAACATATAAACACAACACAGTGCAAGTTACCCACAGAGAGATATGTGTTTGAGAGAGATTCTAATTCAGCACAGAGCATTTTGTGAGGGACAAAGTGGAGAGTTGATAATCAGGCCGCTCCTTCTTTATGTGTCGTTTCACAAACTGAAACACGATGGCTGTTGTATAATCATTCAAACATCAATCAGCAGCACTTCCGGAACAGATGCCACGTTACCACGGAAACAGAGAAACAATGGGTGATCAGAACCGAAGTCAAAAGGGGTAAGGAAATGTGTGAGAGAGAAAGACTAGGATAAAAGTGCTTTTACTACTACTTCTACTACTAGTACAACTACTACTACTTCAACTACTACTTCTTCTATTACTACTGCTACTGCTACTGCAACTACTACGACTACTACTACTTCAACTACTACTTCTACTACTACAGTACTACTACTACTGCTATTGCTACTGCAACTTCTACTTCGTCTATTACTACTGCTACTGCTACTTCTACTACTACTACTACTACTACTACTACTGCTATTACTACTG